CGGGCGCACCGCGGGACGCGTGGAAGGCGCTGTCAGATGTGCTCGCGCTTCAGCCCCGCCGGGCTTTGTGACCAGCCTGACCTGGACCCGGCAGCTGGGGTCCTCGGAGATCAGAATGGGCTCCTGGGCTCTTCCTTGGGCAGCCCCTCCTGCTCCTCCCGGTGCGATAATCAGCAACCGTTAAAAGGAAAACTATAATTCTCCAGGAATCAGGGTTAGAATCAAAGAGGGGAGGTGGGGGTAGGGAGGATGTCCAAACTCCCTACGTCATTTAAAAAAGGGGGGGGGGAAGAGAGAGAGAGAGAGAGAGAGAGAGAGAGAGAAAGAGAGAGAGAGAGATTGAGATTCTGTTTCCTAGCTCATCCCTGTCCTCTGAACTGTAAAGTAAAAATGACAGGGAAAAGATAATTTCAAAGTGGAATTTCCCCAAAGATTATTGAGAAAGTGAGAAAGATTTCAATTATCTGTTGAAATGAGGCAGCCAGGATTCAGGAAGAAAGGAACAGAAGAGCAGATGAAGCAAGTGCTGTCTGAAATTTTGGATCCAGACAAAATTGGGTGGGTGTTATATATTCTGAGTTTTGCTGCTCAGGGGTCCACAAAACCCACACAGGAGGGCTCTGCTGCCCACAGCTCCTGTTACAAGATTGTTCCCCACATACACAGCATTCACTTGTGCTTAAATCTAGAGCAGACACGTTTCAAAAAGAACAATAAAGACAAAAAATTTACAAGTTCAATGATATAAATGTGAACAGTGATCTAAGAGATGGGGATAGAGACGGTGGGGAACAGGAGGGAACGAAGCAGAAGTGTTTTCTAAAAGGCAACCCTGCATTCACCTGTTGGAAAGGTGGCCTCTGTCACCCTTTTCAAGCAAATAATGAATCTGAATGATGATCAGGGTGTCCGGAACCCACCGCCTTCCCCCTGCTTATTCCTGCTCAGATTCAGGCTATTAGAAAACAAACCGTAATGAAGGGAAAGTTTTAAATCCCACATTGGGTTGTTTCTTTTTAGAGAAATCACTGCAAAGGAGAAATAATAAGATCTAGTTGTCGTTTTCTAAAGCCTTTTTGGCTCTGAACCTCCAGATCTCTTGAATACCAATAATAATCTGGCATTTTGTACAAAGATTGGGCCTACAGTCTCATTTCATTGCACAGCTAGCTGCCAGAGTCTATGGGTGGCAGTTCCTATCCTCTGTTTGCTGGGCTGTACAAACAGGAATAATACTGCAGAATTCCATTAGGATTTTAGGTGGATTAAACTGCTAATAGTTTCAAGTTTCTGTGTAAATTATAGCCATCATTTGCACATTTAAAACTCATTTGAGGGATTTGGAGAAGAAAAGAATTCTTTTCTAGACAAAGGGCCTTGGGACATAGCTAGTTTTTTCTTATGTTGATGATTGCAACAAAATTTATGGCTTATGACTCAAAGGCTTCCTTCCAAATTGGGCTTTTTGGAACTTTGAACTGTTTTATTTAACCTGAGTGTTATCACGTTCAGTAATTTTCTTTGTTTTCAGCTCATGGTATCAGAGGAAATCAAACAGATCACATCTGTTTCCAGTGGAGTCCTTTATCCCCTCTGTAATCACAGAATCAACATACATTCCCAGGGGCTTGCAAGTTATGTAGAGTTACTTTTAAAGGAACAAGGATACTCTTGGCCCTTCTGCAGTTATTTTCCTTTTAATTTCACTGGCCCTTTCAGTTTGGATGATTTCTGAGAGTGTGGGACCGCACTTTCACCATGCTGAGGACTGAAGGGCTATGGCTACCTAATCGTAATAATCCACTAGTGCCTCCAGATTTTGGAGCTCAGCACAACCTTCTGACCTTGTAGCAGGGAGTGTAATGAAGGCCCTGGGAAAAAAAGAGAAGAGGATAAAGATTAGCTTAGTTTAGTTGGATTAAATTCTGACCTGCAACCTTTCATTGGCTCTTTCTTAAAAAGAATCCTTATATAATTTATTCAGTCTCATAATTTATTCACATCTCATTTACTTCCCTGATCATTTCACCAACCTAGCCTGGTGTGCTTGACTCACCTGCCTGTGCTCCCAGGGCTGTGTAGGGGAAGACAGTGGCCTACCATGGGCGCACACAGGACCTTCTTGGTCTCCAGGAGTGTGCCAGAGAAGGGGAGTCTGCTTATACCAACAGCTCAGCAACTCCTGCCTCTGCACACACCTTTCTCTCACAGACAGTACAGGCTGCAGAAATAAGTAGTTTAGTGTTGTGAGTTCTGGAGCCAGTTTATCTCCTCCACTAACTAAATTACTTAATCTTGTCTGCCTCAGTTTCCCCATCTGTAGTGGGGATAATGACACTGATAGCCTATTCATAGCATTGTAGTAAAGATTAAAAGAGTGTAGTCAGTGTACGCTAATGCTTAGCACATAGTAAGCACTCATTACACTTAGCTATCACCTTATTGGTCCTGACATCTTCCAGCTTGATACCCTCACTCTCCTGTTCCATTCCTATTTTCTGGGATCCACACGGAACTGTATCTGTACTTATTATCTCTGAAGTAGGGTTACAGGATCAGCTGTTGTGATTGAACTACCCCTACGCACATGACATAGGTCCAGTGTCACTCCAGAAAGCTGGCTCCATATGAGAATGAAAACGCTTTCTCCGTTGCAGCTTTGCTCATTTTGCAATTAACCCGGACCCTTTAATTTCAATGTGCTCAAGAACTCAGATTTCAAACTCATGGCACACTGTAGTCAAATTAGAAATTTGCAAAAACACAACCAAGAGACATTCTTCAGACCAGAAGCTGGAAGATTTCGTAGAAAGGACCTTCGAGGCTTTGTATGACATCTCTACATAAGAAGACAGAAACGGTCAACCCCAGGTCAAAAACAGGATACAGAATCACTCCTCTTCATTCCTTCCTTACCCTTTTCATACCTCTGGCAATAAAAATCAAAATGACAAAAAAGCATGCCAAAATAAAACAATAGGCATACAACTAGAGTCACTAGATTTAGCAAAGAAAACTATTGCATGGGATATACTTCCACTAAAAACTATTTGTTGTTTACCTAAAATTCGGATTTAACTAGGCATCTTATATATTATTTGCAACCCCACCACAGTGTACCTGATAGCCTTTCAATTTTCTCATGGAACTTGCAAAGGAAAAAAGGGCCTGATAAGGAAGAAAACATGAAATGCAACATTAAGTTTATTTTGGAAGAGAATAAGCAGAAAAAGAAAACACAAGCAAAGCCTGGTTGGAACAACAGAACTTCAAAGCCTGAGGATAGCGTTTCCAAGCCGGACTGGGCTTAGCCCTGGGGTTTCTCACAGTTAGAGGTTGCATGGTTTGTGTTTCTAGCTCTTTCCTATGGAACACTGCCATGCTAGAGGGACAGGCAGTTGCTCCTGCATCCAGTCCCTAGGGTCCCACAAATGAATTTCTGAAGAGATAGAGCTCAACTCACTTTCAAGAACTTCAGCTTTGAAACCAAGGGTAAACTTATGCTAATGTTAAGGTCAAGATCAAGTCCATTTCTTGTATTTCTGAGAGGAATCAAAGTTCAAGCCCAAACACCTCCACTACAGAAACAGTGGAAAAAAGAAATGGTGCAAGATCTAAATAGCCGCCCTTAGAACACATCAGACAGGTTCTGCTGCCTCCATTCCAGGTCAATAGCATGTAGCAATGACAGTTTCCATCTCTGTCTTCAGCCCCATTCATTTGTCTTTCTCAGTGAGAGATCTGCCAGGGATAGTTGTCTCTAGTAAGTGGGGTTCATTTTTATACGTTCAGTTTTCCCCAATAGCCTGAATTTTCTACCATTTTTCATGTACATCATCAAAGCTGGATTCTGTGTGATTCTTGCGAAATAATTGAGGTCTGAGATGAGAAACTAGAGTTTGTTGGCAGGCCTGAAAGCAGATCAAAGCTGAGCTTGGAAAAAACTTTGCTGGGAGGGCTCCATCAGTGGAACAGCCAAGATGAGACCCGCAGCTAAATGTGCCCTGTGTTCCCAAAACACATCCTAAACGTCCACACTAATGTCGTTCATATCGTTTTGTATCATCTACAAGTGCTATGGAGAGATAACTTGTCCTACTGAGAGCTAATTGCTCACATGT